GGATCCCCACCAGCCCACGCATTTTATCATCGGTAGGTCCTATATATTATTACACGCTTGTGGCCAAAAACCATATAACCTAATCGACTACAAGGTAGAACTAAGCGACTATTTTTTTAAATCCATTTTGTACTAATCCGGCCAGTACTTGCAAAAAAAGCAGTAGAAGCCCCCTATAATTGTAATCTATTTTTAAAGAAAACATTGAATATTCAAACATAGGTGAACAACGTGCTGTTAAATATACACCAGCTGTTACCATTGTTGCTGCATGTATTAAAGCAGAAACAGGTGTAGGACCTTCCATAGCATCAGGTAGCCATAAATGTAAAAAAATTTGAGCCGATTTACCCATTGCCCCTATAAAAATTAAAATCCAAGCTACATCAATAATACTTAAAATATAATTAAAAAAAATAAATTTAAAATCTTTTACAATAGAAATGGCAGCAAAAGTACTAAAATATTCAATTGTTCTTATATTATAAAAAATAGTTAATACCCCTAATAGTAAAATTAGATCACTAATTCTATTAACTAACATTGCTTTAATAGCTGCTTTATTTGCTTGTAATCTTGTAAACCAAAAATTAATTAATAAATAAGAACAAAAACCAACACCTTCCCATCCAACAAACATTTGCATAAAATTATCACCAGTAACTAATATAATCATAAAAAAAGTAAATAATGATAAATATGACATAAATCTAGATAAATGTGGATCGTGGGCCATATATTGTGATGAATATAAATGAACTAAAAATAAAGAATGGGTGCTATCATTTCGGGACAAAACAGGTGAAAATTTAGGTCGAAAAAAGTGTTTATAGACAAGGCATTTGAATTTAGCCAAAATCTGACTTGACCACGGGAATGCGCGCATAAAAGCACCCCTAGGGCAGTTTTTATACGGAGCAGTCTCATTTGCTTCCTGGATGTGCAGGGCCAAACATGGCCAAAAGTGGTGATTTTGGCCGTCCAAGGTGTCCATTTTCCGCGAAAATGGCGTTTTTTGGCGTCACTAAAAAAATCATTGCGAAGCAACTACTGGAGATATGCTTGTAAAACTTTGGGAGCGGTCGTGCGAACACATGCGCCAAGTTTTCTGCTAAAGTCTGCAGGCCAGATCTGCCGGGCGGCACATAAAACCGGAAAAAACCACCTAAAAAAAGAGCATGCCAAACAAAGTCTCACATTTCGCTGAATAACTTTTGATCTAGAAGAGTTAGACAAATTCTGATTGCGGGAACGGCTCCGCCGTGTGTTTTTACATATGTCTATGTCCCGTAGATAAAAAGTACATGTTGCAAAAAAAGTACATGTTGTACATAAATCTACCTTTGATATTCGGATTCCCCGTGAAAAACTACGCCTAGGCCGCAGGGTTACAAAGACGAGTCATTGCACTTATGCCCTTTTATAGACGCTTTTAGAAATCGGCCAAAACAGTATTTATTAATTTAGACAGTGTTCCGCTGACATGTCGCATGCTGCGATATGTCCACGTGAAGGAGCACCGAAAAGCACCCCTAGAACACCCTTCATACCCGTTCTAACGGTTCTCTTTCATCTTCATAATAATCATATTAAAGAACACCATACAAAAAACAAGATCTCGTGTGTAGTGGCTCGCCAGGCATACTAAAACCAAGATGTCGTGTGGGCACATGCCAGACATCATATCTTGCGTTTGCAAACACACGCAAAGTCGGTAAACAGCTCAAAACGGGCTAAAAAGTAGACAGCACCCGGACTTCCCCGGTGGTCACCCACCCGAGTACTACCCGAGCTTGAGGCTGCTTAACTTCACAGAGCAGACGGGATATGGTGCTTTCAGCCTAAGATGGCCGTCTACATTTGACTTTGACCGACACACCTATTAGTGTTTATCACTCGTATACATTGGTACAACACATTTACACACTCACATGTCCACATACGTGGCCATAGACTGCACACGATGGCCCCCAATACCCCTTCTGGCCCTCAGAATTGGCTGGGTGGATGGCTACACTTTATATAGTAACAAAACAAAAAGGGGGGTGGTGTGGCGCACTCCAATACAAACGTGTGGCCAGCAGCTCACTCCTACAACGCAGCATACGTATTCTCTCCGATAGGAACCCCACACAGACCGACACCTTCATACACAGCAGTGCAGATAGCCGCCGCACCCCATATTTGCGCATACGCGGCCTGGAAACAATGTTAAACCACCAAAGTGGCCATTTACGACTTGCACAACCATACCTACGCTTCCTATGCGACATGACATGTGCACGTACGCGTCTTAGGCAATATGGACACCTTCGACACCTTCATACATGCACAGCGCGCGCTCCGCTTAAGTACGACACCAACTTGTCATATACATCATGCGTTTCCTCCCGTCACCTTTCATCACCTCCATATTCACACCCATGCGCCGTCACCTTCCTCGCGCCATCACCTTCACCATTTTCACCTCCATATCCGCGCTTCCTCCGCCGTCACCTTCCGCGTACGCGTCCATATTCGCTGCGTTTCCTCGCGCTTCCTGCCTGTTATTAATCCAAGCCAAAAACATCTCCAAACCCATACAATTAGAACAGCAAACAACTTCGCATTTTTTCACAAAGTCCTCAGCTTCATTTTGCATACTTTATCCTAGTCTAATTCACGCTATTCCGCTCTCTTTAACATACTTAAACTAAGTCTAATTCACGCTACTCTGCTCTCTCTAACATACTTAAACCAAGTCTAATTCGCGCTATTCTGCTCTCTTTAACATACTTAAACCAAGTCTAATTCACGCTACTCTGCTCTCTCTAACATACTTAAACCAAGTCTAATTCGCGCTATTCTGCTCTCTTTAACATACTTAAACCAAGTCTAATTCACGCTATTTCGCTCTCTTTTAACATACTTAAACCAAGTCTATTTCATGCTATTTCGCTCTCTTTTAACATAGTTAAACCAAGTCTATTTCATGCTATTCCGCTCTCTTTAACATACTTAAACCAAGTCTAATTCACGCTATTTCGCTATCTTTTAACATAGTTAAACCAAGTCTATTTCATGCTATTCCGCTCTCTTTAACATACTTAAACCAAGTCTAATTCACGCTATTTCGCTCTCTTTTAACATACTTAAACCAAGTCTATTTCATGCTATTCCGCTCTCTTTAACATAGTTAAACCAAGTCTATTTCATGCTATTCCGCTCTCTTTAACATAGTTAAACCAGGTCTAATTTACCGTTATTTCGCTTTTTTTTTTAACTTAATTAAACCAAGTTTTCTATTTTATGCTATTCCGCTCTCTTTAACATAGTTAAACCAAGTCTAATTCATGCTATTCCGCTCTCTTTAACATAGTTAAACCAAGTCTAATTCACGCTATTCGCTCTCTTTTAACATACTTAAACCAAGTCTAATTTTACGCCCTGCCGTCTAGCTTGCCCTGTTAAACCCCCATACTAAAATCTCCGATTTTGGCTCAGAAATCATTAGCGCTGGCACTTAGCGATTTTCACGCAAAGTGTTTCTCGCTTTCTGCCTGTTATAAACCCGATACTAAGGTCGCCGAATTTGGCTCGGAAAACAATAGCAGCGGCACTTAGCGATTTTTGCGAACAAACCTCACTAAGCCAAAACAAAGACTTTGACGATCTTAAGCTTAACAGTATTAACTCTCTACCAGCACTTTGACCGGGTTACTTTCGCCGCTCCATAGCGAAAGTAAATCACTTTAACGCAGCCTTATTTCGACTGCTTAACTTTATAGTTTTATCATTGCGCGTTTGCAATTGGGGGGAGAAATGTTCCATTTCTGAACAAATCAATAGAACAAGGGCTAAATCTCAGCAGATCGTAGTACAAGACTACTCTCATGCTTACAACACCCCGTTCTGTAGTTAAGTCGTCTACAAAGGATTTATCTTTCCCAATATTTGAAATTACAAATCAGCCTACTCTCCACCGCCAGTACTTGACAGGCAGCGGAGTGCGTTGCAATTGTATGATGTTGGGTGTCCAGAAGACACCTATCGCTATTCGCGGCACATCGGGAAAGGTGATTATCGTCTATTCCAGCATGGATTCTGACTTAGAGGCGTTCAGCCATAATCCTACAGATGGTAGCTTGGCGGCACTAGCTTTTCAGCTAACCGCAGTTACCAATTATCTGAACCAACGGTTCCTCTCGTACTGGGTTGGATTACTGTTTAGACAACGAACTCATCAGTAGGGTAAAACTAACCTGTCTCACGACGGTCTAAACCCAGCTCACGTTCCCTATTAGTGGGTGAACAATCCAACAATTGGCGAGTTCTACTTCGCAATGATAGGAAGAGCC